ACGAGCCAGCCACCGAGCCAGCCGGCTAGCCAGCCGCCTCTCCAGCCACCGAGCTGGCCGCCCACCCAGCGAGCCAGCTAGCTAGCCAGCTAGCTAGCCAGCTAGCTAGCCAGCCACCCAGCTAGCCACCAATCTATCCACCCACGCAGCCACCCAGCTAGCCTTCCAGCTAGCTAGCTAGCTAGCTAGCTAGCTAGCTAGCTAGCCACCTATCCGTGCACCCACCCAGCCACCCACCCAGCTAGCCAGCTAGCCAGCCAGCCAGCCAGCCAGCGAGCCAGCGAGCCAGCTAGCCAGCCAGCTAGCCAGCCAGCTAGCCAGCCAGCTAGCCAGCCAGCCAGCCAGCTAGCCAGCCAGCTAGCCAGCTAGCTGCGTGTGCCGCAGGTACGCAATGGAGGGCGTGAGCAAACTGCTGGTGGGGAACAAGTCGGACTTGACGGCCAAAAAGGTGGTCAGCTTCGAAGAGGGCAAAGAGCTCGCGGACTCCTGCAACATCCGCTTCATAGAGACTTCTGCGAAGAGCGCGCAAAACGTCGAAGAGGTCTGCTGCTGCTGCTGCTGCTGCTGCTGCTGCTGCTGCTGCTGGGGTGCGGAGGGCGCGGAGGGGGCGGAGGAAGCGGGGGAGCTGCTGCGGGGGCGGGGGTCGGGCTGGTGCTGGTGGTGCGCGGGGGATGGAGGTGCTGCTGCTGCTGCTGGGGAGGCGGGCGTGCTGCTGCTGCTGCTGCTGCGGGGGGTGCTGCTGCTGCTGCTGCTGCTGCTGCTGCTGCTGCTGCTGGGAGGGGTCCTGCGGGTGCTGCGCCGGAGGCAGGGGAGGGTTTGCTGCTGCGGCGGGGTTGCCGCGGGAGAGAGCTGCGTTTGGCCACGCAGTTCTCTCCACACAGCTGCAGCAGCAGCAGCAGCAGCAGGGCTTGTGGGGCGCATGCATGCAGGCTTTCCACATAATGGCGTCGGAGATTAAGGCCCGCGTGCAGGTGGGGCAGCAGCAAAGTCGGCAGCAGCAAAATGTCCGCATTGGCCCCTCGCAGCCAGTGCGGGGAGCTGCGGGCTGCTGCGGCCGCGGCTAACTGCAGCAAACTGCTGCTGCTTGCTGCCACTCACAGGGGCCCCCTAGCGGCACTCAAGGGGCCCCCAAGGCCCCCCTTGAGTGCCCCCGAAGGGGCCCCCAAGGGGCCCCCGAGGGTCCGCCAGGAAGCCCCAAGGGGCTCCCGAGGAGCCCCCGAGGGGCCCCCCAGGGGCCCCCCGAAGGCCCCAAAGGGGCCCCTGAGGGGCCCCCTGGGGCCCCCCGAGGGGCCCTCTGGGGCCCAGTAGGCCTGTGTGGGTTTGGTAGAGATATAAGGAGGGGTTAACTGTTTGAGACAGCCATTGCTGCATGCATTATCTAAAGTGCCCAGGGCCCCTCTGTGCCTCTTTGCGGAGGCGGCTTGAAGCGAGCGTTGTTGCTGCTGCTGCTGCTGCTGCTGCTGCTGCCGTGCTAGCAGCTGCAGCAGCAGTGCCTGCAGCAGCGAGCACTTGCATCTCCTTTGCTGTCACTGGAGCGCGCATGCGCAAAGCCTAGGCCGGCAGTTCCCGCGGCTGCAGCTTTTGCAGACGCCGCAGCCGCAGCAGCAGCAGCAGCAGCGGCAGCAGCAGCCGCAGCAGCAGCAGCGGGGGCGCACTTGGTGGCAGCGACAGCTGCTGTTAGCCCTGCGTAGCCTGGCCAAGACTCTGCTGCTTTGGTTGAGTCGTGTGGGTGATGGGGGGCACAAGAGGCAAAAGAAACAGCCTGCTGCTGTTGCTGCTGCTGTTGCTGCTGCTACTGCTGCTGCTACTGCAGCTAGCCAGGTAGCTGCTGCGCCCCTTTCTGAGAAGACTAGAGAACAATTTTAAGAGCAGCTAAATGAAAAGGCAGAGACAAGCAGCAAAGCAGCATTAGGCTGCTGCTACGCAGCAGCAGATTGCTGCTGCCCAGCAGCAGATTGCTGCTGCGCAGGGAGGCCAAGGCCTCGCAAGCAACTAAGTGGTACCAGACTGCTGCGCAGCAGCAGAGTGCTGCTGCTGTTGCTGCTGCTGCCAAAACTTGGGAAGCAGCAAAGCAGCAGCAGAACGCAGCGCGGCAGGAGGCCCTGTGGGGCCCCCGTGCTCAGCAGCAGGGGGGCCCCAGTGCCCTGGGGGTTTGGGGCCCCCAGGGGGCCCCTGAAGCCCCTAGGGGCCCCCAGGGGGCCCCTAGGGGCTTTAAGCCAGCTAGTTAACTTCAATTAGCTGGCTAGCTAGCCAGCCATGTAGCTAGCTAGCTAGCTGGCTAGCTAGCTAGCTGGCTAGCTAGCTAGCTGGCTAACTAGCTAGCTGGCTAGCTAGCTAGCTAGCTGCAAGTTCTTATAGTAAGCCAAGTGATGCTGCAGCAGCAAAAGCGGCCCCAGTGGCCCTACTTGCTGCGCTGCTGCAGCAGCGCTGCTGCAGCAGCAGCAAGCCTCTCTGCGGACTATTCTTTGCTGCAAATTTTGCTGCTTCTGTACAGCTTTTGAATTTCTCTTTGAGGGCTTTTTGCTTCCTTTGCTGCTTCATGTGGCTGGGCTGAGGCTGTCTCTTGCGGCTTTTATTAATTTCTTAAATGCACTTATTTGGGCCCATTTCTGCTGCGCAGCGGGCACTCCGTGGTGCCACCTGCCGCTGCTGTTACGTGCCGCAGCAGCAGCAGCAGCTGGTGCTGCTGCAGCTGCTGGTATCATCTGCTGCTGCGCCAATCGCCGCCCGCAGTAGCTGCCGTCTGCTGGGGCAGCCGCAGCAGCTCACAGTGGAGGCAACCTGTAGCAGCAGCAGCAGCAGCACCAGAATCAGCAGCAGCAGCAACAGCAGCAGCAGCACCGATCGGGTCTGTGCAAAAACGCAGCAGAGCTGAAAGGCCTCCTCAGAACGGCGCGGCTGCTTCAGAGTGAACTAAACTATATCTTAATGATAAATTAGAATTAATTAAATGTTTTTTCAATTTTAAAATCATTTTTGCTGCTGTCTGGCAGCTGGAGCAGCTCCGGGGCCCCACACATGCGCCCCAAGCCACTGGGGCTAGGGTTAGGGATTAGGGTTTGAGGCTTTGAAAGAAAGCCGAGGCTTCCATGTCTTCCATTTCATTTTTAGATCTTTGTCTTAGAAGCAACTAGCCGCTGTCGTTTGCTGCAGCTAGAGGCGGCAGCCGAGCCAACGGGTGCAGCAGCAGAAGCAGCAGCAGCAGCAGCAGCGGCGGCAGAGGCCACGCCCAGCAGCAGCAGCAGCAGCAGCAGAAACTGCTGCGCAGCTGCCTTCTGATGAGTTCTGGGCGCAGCTAGAGTGGCTGGCCTTGAGGGATACGATCTGCGTGCTGTTGGCGCTGTTGAAGCTTCCGCAGCAGCGCCGTCGGCTTCAGCAGCAGCAGCAGCAACAGCAGCAGCAGCAGCCGAAGCAGCAGCAGCAGGCAAAATGGAGCCCCAGGAGCCAGAGTCTCTCGAAGCTCTTTTCTCAGTTTTCAAGAGCGGCGCAGCAGCAACGGAAGCTGCACCTGGAACGAAAAAAGCAGCCGCAGCTGCCAAATGCGAAGCTGCTGCTGCTGCTGCTGCTGCAAAGAAGGAAACCAAGGAAAAGAGCAGCAGCAGCAAATCCAAAAGAGGATCGAGCTCTTCTCAGCAGCAGCAAAACAAGAAAAAGCGGCGGGGGGCCCCCGCAGCCCAGGATGGGGCCCCTGGTGGGAAGCGGCAGCCGAAGGCGGAGGCTGCGAGCGGGTCGGGCCCTGCAGCAGCAGCAGCAGCAGCAGGAGCAGGAGCAGCAGCAACAGCAGTAGCAGCAGCAGCAGAGGGCGCAGACAACCCCTTCGCAGGGGCCCCTGCTACTGATGGCCTCAAAACTCGAGTTTTGCTCTCCGACAAAAATTGTCTTCATGAAGTTGTTTATCCAGAGTCTGTTCCGACTCGCTTCAGGGACTTCCCGCTGCAGACAACAATCCCTGCTGCTGCTGCTGCTGCAGCAGCAGCAGCAGGGGGCGCTGCTGCTGCTGCTGACGGCGGCA